TTCACACACTAGTTTCCACAATTGCTTAGGGCAGACCTTTTCCTCCCGCCCCTTTCGGTGAGGTTGTTTCATAGATTTGCAAAAATTCTTTTCTTCCCTCCGTGAGGGGGCTCTCAGCCCGTATGGAGTCAGTCTCTGGGACCCCTTCTTTCTCCGGATCGCCCTTCCTCTTTTCTACCCTCTGCCCTCTTCCTGATACCCCGGTTTCATCCTGCTCCCCTTCACCTGGCGGAGGCTGAGAATACGTGTTTGCTCTCTAGCCTGCGGGAGCGAAGCTGACCCCTGACAATCAGGGGTGATGCTCCACAGACCCCTGGGGGATGAGGTCCAGGTCCCCAGGACCTGCAGGAGAGAGAAACTCTGAAACAAGAGTTCGTTGTTCTCGACGAAACCGGTTTGGCTCAGTGGATAGAACATCAGCCTGCGGACTGAAAGGTCCCGGGTTCGATTCCTGTCAAGGGCATGTACCTTGGTTGTGGGCACATCCCCAGTGTGCAAGAGGCAGCTGATTGATGACTCTTTCTCATCAATGTTTCTAATTATCTCTCTCTCTCTCCCTCTCTGTAAAAAATCAATAAAATATATTTTTTAAAGAGAGAGAGAGAGAGACATTCTCTTTATAGTGCTTATGGCCTCAGCATTGCTTCAGTATATTAGCATGCTGACTTAGCCTCCACCGCCAGACTAGAGGGTAAAAAGGAAGAAAGGGGGTGAACGGGGTCAGAGAATGCCAGGGCGTGACTCAGTCATGCCAGGGTTCTACGTAATATCTAGATTTCCTCAAATCAAGTCGTTCATGGAAACAAAATGTCATTCTCTTTTAAGCATTACGTTCTTCAAATTGCTCTACTATGCTTATTATTATTATTTTTTAATCATCAGAGTATCGGAATACTTTGAACAATCCCTTGCTCCTCCCCGAAAGTGATCTAAATAACATTCTTATGTTTATAATAACCCTTGTGGCTCTGGGGTAGGAAGGGGTCTGGAAGTTTGAAGTGACATCCCTCATCAGTTCCTCCGTCTCTGGGGATGAGGTGGGAGCCTGACAGCTGGTCACTTCTCGCCTCTGATAAGCACCTTTCTTATTCTAATGACACCTTTTCCTGAAGTAACTTTCCAGTTACTTCACCTTTACATCCCTGTGAGAAAGGAGCCCTTTCAGACAGCTTGTGAACAATGACGCTTAGAGATGGTTTAATCGGGGAAAGGAAACCTGTAGAGGGTCTTATCCGGGGTGAGCGTCTCAGGCAATCCAAGATTATCTCCCCGTCACCTCGTGACCCGTCTCCTTCACGCCACCCTTTAATTTTGGTAGCAATTACGGAGTATATGGATAATGCCCATTAGCATATTCATGGTCATCTCATCATATTTATTGTCCGCACAACTCATTAATCTTCATCTACTTTGTGTGCTTGACAGCTCAATCTATTTTGCAATCTCTGAGAAAGCGGCCATCACTCCCCGAAGCTTTTGTTTTCCTGTAAATAAACTGTGTTGGGGACCAGAGGACAATGGTGCCTCTCGTGGTGATTGACATCAGCCAGGGCTACTAATCAGGAAGGGACTTCATTGCCAGCTGAGGCGAGTGCATCATGGGGCCATTGTTCTAAGGCTGCCAGGGCAAGAACACACACCGCCAGTCACCTTCGCAAGATGGGCTGATTGTTCTTCAAGATTAGACCGAGTTGCCTTATTATCCATCCCAGACAGCGAGCCATCTCACCCAAACAGACACGTTTTCAGAAACTGCCCGTACACAGGCCGGATCTGAATTGCTAATGTATAATCTGCCTGGCACAGATGTGCAATGAATATTTGGATGTTGTTTGGCCCGTCAGTCCAGGAGGCTGCATTGATGAGGTGATGAGTATTCAGTGATGGGTTCTGGACCTTGGCCAACAGAGTTTTGAGCACTTGCGCTGATGATAATCAGATTACCCCCCTCCCCCCACCTGCCTTTGCTGCAATTCAGTGGCAAATTCTGCTACAGGAACTGTAGGGTGGAAGAGTCTCTTTCCTTTTTGATGCAATGATGCCTTAAGTTTTTTAGACTTGACAAAGGTAGAGAAGGTGCCTTGATTGTGCCCTTGCCTGCCAGCTCCTAGGGCTGTGTGTGAGTCATGTGGCGCTGACTCCTTGGGTTTGAATTTGCCATTTTCTAGCTTATCTTATTAAGCTCTTGGTGCCTCAGTTTTCTCGTGTGTTAAAATGGGTTGAAAAATTCTATCAACCATACAGAGCTGCCGTGGGGATCCAACGAGTTGATATAAGCCCCAGCCAATGTTAATTATCGCCATGTCATTGGTCATTTGCTCTCTTTCAATATTACTCTGGCCACATAGGTTGGATGACCTGGGAATAACATTCAGGCCTCTCCATTACCTCTGGATGTCACATGGCCGGCACTATGCTACAGGTCTGTTTCTGGTTGTAAGGAACATTTCCTGACCGTATGTGACCATGAAGCTTTTTCCCTGAAGCATCTTTCACAGCCTACTTTTCCAAGAACATACAATAGGACAAGCTGCCCTAGCAGGTGATACACAAGATTTACAAAGCTTTGAAAGAGAAAACATGGGATTCAAGAATTTTATATACAATTATGGCATATAAAGGCAACAGGGATTAATTATGCAAATGTATATGTTCTCTCTGAAAAAAAAAATGTTACTGGAAAAATGTTTCTCTGTTTATTAGACAAGCCCCATCCCCAAGAATTAGTCAACATTAAAACATGTGTGAAATGTCATTATTCAAATGTGAACAAAAAGAAAGGTCTGGGAATATTAATATCAGGCAACGTAGAATTATACAAGTCCAAGAGTATTAAGCTGGTAACTATAATATTTCATTTCTTTATCCCCAGTCAAATGCACAAGGTAGATCCTAAATAGTTACAGCAGGATTTATTGTGGAAGGGGAAGCAGTGGGTGAAAGGTATGTGGAAAGGGATGGCTTGTCTGCCAGGGCCCCTGGGGTGTAGGTTTTTAAGGGACCTCTACTTTGAATCCTGGAGAGGACACCTACTTTATCTGCCTAAGTCACCTTCTTCTGGGAACTGCTTCCTCTTCCTTCCTCTGTGCACCTGGGCTCATTTCTCCCAGCGATAGGATTGCTGGCGCCATGTGATCCTGGTCCAACACAGTTGATGGGAGTTGACCTGAGTCAGGGAACCACACTACCTTGCCCCTTGGCTTGCTTCATTCATTTAAGAGAAGACATCAGAATCTTCACTTTTGTCTTTTCAAACTCTGGAAAAGCAGAGTAAGATGGAGGTCTTGTTGCTATGGGTTGCCATGTTCCCTGGCAAGAGGAAGAAACTAATCTACAATGAAGTTTTAGATAAAAACATGCCCTCTGGTGGCTTTTGGATTTCTGGTAGCATTGGAACCTCAAGCCCAGCCACTGCCCTGCACTTCCCTGGCACCTTTTCCTTAAATGGCAACATCTATTCCTACAGCTTCCTAAGAATTTTCTTTTTCTGCCTTTTTCTCTCTTACGGTTAAAAACTGTATTAGTCAGAAACCCAGCTCTAGCTTGCAACCAAGAGCCCAGACTAATAGTCACTTGTTAAAATTTTTAAATAATGGTGCATACATCCTGACATATGATACCATATTCCTCTATTAAATTTATTAAGTCAGGTTTCCTGGTTCCAAAGGGAGTTTGGCTGAAAGCAAGCTGTCAACATGGCACTTTGGTTTGAAAATTACATAATCGGTTAGTGACTTTAAAATTGCTTTTTTTTTTTCTTTCCTGTACTGCTAGGCAATTTTGTCATATGTCACATGCCTACTTTCTTTTTTTTTTCTATTGTTTTTAAAATGTTAAGTATTTGCTTTTTGAATATAAAGTCAATTATTTTTTGTCTAGGCTCTTGTAGTAGCAAAAAGTTGGAGTAATCTAAGTATATAATAAAAGATTAATTAGGGCAAATTATACATCCCAAGTTGGGCAATAGTTGGAAACAAAAATGTCCAAAGCTATGTTGTAAAAATGTTACATGACCCATAGGATTACTTTATACTTTTTTTCATGTTCATTTTTTTTCTATGAAAACCAACTACTAGAAATAAAAAAATACAGGCAAACAAAAGAAAAATTTAATCTATATTGATGATCACACTCATGTTTTAAGACTTAAAATACTTTTTTCAAATTTATTTTTATTGATTTCAGAGAGGAAGGGAGAGGGAGAGATAGAAACATCAATGATGAGAGAGAATCATTGATTGGCTGCCTCCTGCCCATCCACTACTAGGGATCGAGCCTGTAATCCAGGCAGGCATGTGCCCTTGACAGGAATCGAACCTGGGAGCCTTCAGTCTGCAGGTTGACACTCTATCCACAGAGCCAAACCAGCCAGAGCAAGACTTAAAAGACCTTTTATAAACTTTTATAATCAATGTTACCACTTGGGTATACATTCTTATAAACTTTTATAATTATATAGCCATATATACTTTGACATTTGTTCATTTAAAAAACTTATTTCCTATAAAAATGGGACTACATCACAGGTGCTTTTTGAAAAGCCTGAACATAAGAGGTATAATTTACATATAATGTGCACTCATTTTAAGCATTATTTCATGAGTTCTGACAAATTTTACAGCATGATAACCACCATCATGATAAAGATATGAAACATGTCCATCATCCAAAAAAAAAAAAAAATTCCTTTGTGTTCTTTCCTAGTCAATCTCAGTCAAACAATGATCTGCTTTCTATTGCTATAGATTAGGTATTTTTTCCTCTAAAGTTTCATATTAATGGGATCATACAATATGAACTCTTTTGTGTCTGGTTTCTGTCACTCAGTACTTTTGAGATTCATCCATGTCACTGTGCTTGTCAGTAGTTAATTCTTTTATTGCAGTGTTCCATTGTATGAATATTTCACACTGTGTTTATGCCACCATTATTTCTTGAAAAGATTCTCTTTTCCCTATTGAATTGCCTCAGTACCTTTGGCAATAATCAATTGACTACTTATGAGCAGATCTATTTTAGGACTCTTCCGTTGGCTGGGTCTCTTTGTTTATCTTTACTTCAGTCCCACTGTCTTGAGAAGTCGGAAAACTCCTGATACTGAGTTAAGCATTGAGAGGGAAATACACCTTACTGAGGTTGTTTGTATCATTACTGTGACTTTCCCTCGCTGGGGTGGCAACAGACGGGGGCAATTCATCCAGGCCCGTGGAAGGCTGCCTTCATCTCTCACAAGTTTCATACCCTGTCTCCATCATTCATATACTGATTCGGTGCCCCTTCTGCACTCTTCATTTGTCCTTTCTTCACAAACACCCTGTGGGATGGGCTACTTAGACCCAATTATACCCATTTAACAGATAAGGACATTTACACGTTAGGATTATCACCATTAGGACACCTTCTCAAAAACTGGAATTCTAGGCAAGTAACACAGAAAACCAAAGGCCAACATGAGCTCATCAACATAGCAGTCTGTTCTGTCTGATGACTTCTTGGGAGAGTGGCAGGCCACAGAGGTCACACCTGTGCTACACTTGTGCCCCTATAAAACCTCGACACACACACACACACACACACACACACGCACACACGCACACACACACCTTTTCTACTCTATTTGTCTTAAATGACATCTGGCCTAGGGCAGTGCTTCCTGCAAGATATTTTAGCATTTGCTAGTGGCCATATTTCTGGGTAACAAGGCCAGGTGACCCTTACTGTGGGCCCCACCCAATCCCCAGTCCTCTTGTTAAGGATAGAGAGCTAGAGCATGACTGTATTTTCTGGCTTGGGTTCTTTCAAATATGCAAAATCTTTTGAGTTAAGTTTGAATTTCTGCTTCATGCAAGTAAATGATGCTGGTAACTCTACTAGGACTTTGAAAGAACCAATGTCTGCTAAAGGGAGGGCAGGCAATATGGCCTCATCAGTGATTCTCAAAGGACTGGGATAAAACAGTGGGAGCGGGCACTAAATCTTTTAGGGCCAGAGGATTAATTTGAAGACCGAAGAGCATCTTGTCCCCTCACTTTGATATGACTCAGAATACTGTATTAATTTTTAATTTCATAAACTATTAAAGGACCTTTATGGTATTAAAGGGGTGCAGTGAGAGATTCTGGCACGTGCAGTCCTGAATGGGTCAGGTACCCATGGGCTGAATCCTGGCTCACTCACTTTTCAGTTGTGTGCTCTTGGGCAAGATCACTTCCACTCCGGGAGGTGGGTGGAGGGTCAAAGTAAGCTCCATAGCAGTAGCACGAGGCAAGCCTTGAAGGGTAAAAAGCATTTGTGCCTTATGCTTAGGAGCATCTTACTTAATGACACGAATATTAACAGAGCTGATGAATTAGTTGGCATTAAGAAAAAAACCCTAAGCACTACATGCATGACAACAATCCTTTTTCAACATCCAGTTTACTCTTAGTTTCTGACTTCAGGCTTGGCTGTAGTATCTACATATGGACCACAGGAGCCAAAATTTAATATTGTACTGTCTTCCTATGATAAATATATTTTATTGACTTGTCTCAGTGTGCAAGAATATGTTTTGTACAAAACATACACAGCATCCTTGCTATGGAAACCGGCAAAGTTATGACTAACCAACATTTTCCAAGAGGACAGGGAACAGGTGCACCAATTCTGGGGACCAGAGCGACTCTGTTCTCAGTATGTTATGAAGCCAAATTCTTCAACTTTGACGATGATTCACAAACTGTCAAAAACAATTAAGGCACAATATGACTCAAAGTTTATACTTAGAGCAGCAATAATCTAGAGAAAGTATAATTAACACATGGAATTGTATCACATTTTAATTAACACTGTTAAGACAGAATTATTATGGCATAAGAGATATTGTTTTATGAAACATCAGGAAGGTGTGATGTATAGGAAGGTGGCTCAGATTAAAAAATCAAATGTATCAAAAAAACAACAACTCTTCGGTATTAGATTCTAGGTTTCTTTTATGGTTCCAAAACTGGATCTACATTCTATCACATATTAACGAACGTAGCAAAAAGACCTTTAGTATGTCTGATTATACCAGCAGTTTGGTGACATATTGGTAAAGCTGTTCTGTAAATGCTTCCGAGGAAAACTTTTCCTTCACCCTGGCTCTGCCAGCCAGCCCCATGGTGACCTTTAAGGAAGGTTCCTTGATAAACTTCTCCATGGCTTCTGAGAAGTGCATGGGGTCAGGCTCACACAAAAACCCTGTGACGCTGTGGACAATGGACTCCAAGGGCCCACCGGAATGAACAGCAATGACGGGGCACTGCATGTACATGGCCTCCACGGGGACGATGCCAAAGTGCTCATTGCTCGGTGTGTAAATCACGCAGGTGCAGCCGTGGAGGAGTGAGATTTTCTGTTTGTCCGAGAAAGACCGCAGGAAGGTCACAGACTGGTCAAGGTCAAACTGCTGGGCCATTTTCTTGAGCTCCTGATAGTGTTCCACATTCTCCATGACTCTCTCATCGTAACCACCCGCCATAATCAGATGGACCTTGTCCCAGTCTTGGGATGTCAGTCTTCCACGCAGCTCTACGAGGGCTTCCAGTGCCAGAGTCAGGTTTTTCTTCCTTTCATATCTGTTGATGGAGAGGAACAGGAATTTTTTTCCCTTGGGGACTAGATCGTCAAGCTTTTCAGGGACCGCTGAGTCAAAACTGGTAACATTCAGAGATGGGTAGAGGACAGCGGGGTCCATGTGAGACAGGGACTTAAATGTTTTCTTAAATATGGCAGCTGTGAACTGACTGTTGACCAAGATGCAGTCAGCCATACCTGTGGTGTATTCTTCTACCCAGTCAATCGGGGCCCTGTACAGACGTTTAAGAAAAGAATCCCTCTGGGTGAGAAGCAGATCTGGGAAGTGACAATAAAACAAGATCTTCTTACGCCGTCTGGCCAGCTTCAACACTGGGATACAGGCAGACACCTAGTTAAAGCACAGATCAAAAACAGGTTAAGTAACCGGTCAAATAAACTTCAAGAAAATAAAATATAAAAAAACAGATGTGTGCTGCCTACTACCTGTGTTTCCCCGAAAATAAGACATCCTCCGAAAATAAGACCTAGCACATGGAAAGATAAGACATCCCCTGAAAATAAGACCTAGCGCAACTTTGGGAGAAAAAAATAATATAAGACACTGTCTTATTTTTGGGGAAACAGGGTAGTCTGTGGGCTCCTCGTGGGCAATGTCTCATTCTGCTTTGTGTTCCTACAGACTCTCACCCAGTCCAACGCCGGCTGTATTAAAGGCTGGTAGACATTTTCTGGATGTGTGCTAAATATGTAAAGCTGCAAGTTGAGTGTTTTCTCTAGAATAAGCAATCCCATGAAAATGAAAATGTAATAATCACATGAAAAATTTTTAATGGGTTAAATAAATTTTAATATATTTTATCTAAAATATCAGCATTGAAAATGTAATCAATACTATAAAAATTAATGGCATACTTTACACTTTTTTTCCACATTAAATCTTTAAAGTCACGTGTGTATTTTACCCTGACAGCACATCCCAGTTCAGACTAGCCACTTTCAGGTACTCAATAGCCACCTGTGGCTAGTGGCTACCATACCGGACAGCAGGTCTAGCATATTCGCCTTCTAAGAAACTAAATGAACTATAGTAGTTCAAGTGCAGTCTCTGGAATCAAGATTGCCAGGGCTTGAATCTCACTTCCACTAGCTAGAGTGTGACCATGATCAAGTAATCTACTTCTCTCTGGGTCTCAGTTTCCTCTTCTGTAGCATGTGGCAATTATAGTTATCAAAAAACCCCCCATTTTTTAAATAATTATTAAGTGCAATGGGATATGTAAAAAGCTTAGGAATTTGGCTTGTAATATGTGCTCAATAAATATTAACCATAATCATTACTGAACACGAACTACAGGCTGGCACTCTTAGACTTTCCTGTTGGATAATCTTACAAATCACGTAATTTCCAGCTCACTTAACACCTGAAGGTGAGCTTTCCAAAGCTACTTAGTTAGAAAGTAGCTGATGAATGGAACTTGAATCCGGGTCTCTTCCTTCCAAGCTCAGTTTTCCCTCTGTCTGCTGCAGTCTCAGCTGACTCCCGCTTATTAACTAATTAGACATGCAGGGTGTTTGGAAAATGTCCATATTTCTCAAAAAGAAGTATCTCCCACCCAAGTAAGGATGATCAAAAGTGACACAAGAGTTATAAAGAAACACAAACACTAATGTGATGCTATTTCCCCTATCAGTGTGGCAAAGATTAAAATGGTTGATAAGACCCAACATGCACCAGACATTGAGCAAAATGCTCTGCCTTCATGTGGGAGAGTGAAGTGACACAGTCTCTTTGGAAGGCAAGTCTGACAATAGCTATTGACATTTAAAATGAACAACTCTTAGACCTACTCATTTTATTTCTGGGAAGTTACTCAAAGGATATACTTGCAGAAGTACAAAAAGAAGGTAAAAGGATGTTCATTACAAAACTGTTCTACTCACAAAAAAATGCCACAATGTTAGTGCCCTTTAATAGAAGAATAAATTACCTGTACATTTTAAAAAGAGAGATTTTCTACCTAGCATGAAGAATTAAGTGCATCTCTAATACTGACATATAAGGATGTTCCAAATAGATTTTTGTGGCAAAAAAAAAAAAAAAAAATCAAGTTGTCTAATAGTAGGTATGCCATAATCCTAATTATTACAAACTAGAAGCCTGATGCACAAAATTCATTCAAGAGTGGGCCTTCCTTCCGCTGCTGCTGGCACCAGCTTCCCTAGCAGCCCCTGCTTTGCCTGGAAGGTCTTTTGGCCTAATTAGCATATTACGCTTTTATTATTATAGATAAGATTTATCTGTGAACAGACACACATATGGTGGTGTAGCCATAGACAATTTCTGAAAGGACATAGCAGAAACTGTTGAACAGTGGCTATTTTTAGGGCTAGGAACTGGAATGGAACTTTATATTATACTCTTATACTACTTAATGTTTTAGTTATAAATTGTTAGTTTTTAAAATAAGTATTTGGGGGGTGGGGTGGAAGACAAGGAGTTTAGAACAGACTCCAGATCCACGTGGGCATTCTTTACCAAGTGAAAGAATTTGTACACCCCCCCCTCCCCCAAAGTCTAACGGAGAGCCACGTTCAAGTTCTAATGGGGACGGGACATGTGTGGCTTGGTGCTTTAGAATGACCCGGCCGCAAAGGCTACATACAGACAGTGTGATGCGCATAGCCTAGGAATAGTGTCAACAGAAATGATGCAAAGAGGGGGAGACACACGAGTTCCTCAAACGTAAACCGTGACAGAGCGAGCCCCCAGGTCCCTGTGCTTCAGATTCACCGCTGTGCCCGTGGGGGGGGGGGGGGGGGAGGGGAAATGCAGATGTTGGGGCCCCATCTCGGGGCTCCTGGATGAAACTTCTCAGGGCGGGGCCCTGTTATGTGTAACCTAAGTGTGTCCACACTCAAGTTCGAGAACTGCAGCCACTCCCAGCTCTGATCTCTCCAGATCTCTCTTCCCTTTGCTCCTGGATCCCAGTGTTTCCGAACCGCAGACCCGGAGGAGAGGTCCGGAGGGGCGCCAAGGGGCGTGGCGAGGGCCCGGCGGCGGGGTCACCTCACCTGGTCGCACACGACCACGTCGAACTCCTCGTCGCCGAGGAACAGCACGTAGAGCGCCAGGAAGACCATGCGCACGTAGGCGCAGAGCGCGGCGCCGCGGCCGCCCCAGCCCAGGCTGCGCGGCAGCCAGTCCCCGGCGCAGCGCACCGGCAGCTCGCGGCTCTCGGCGAAGCAGTGGCCCGGGTCGTAGTGCGCGGTCCAGATCCTCACGCTGCATCCGCGCGCCTGCAGGGCCAGCGCCGCGTCCAGCACCAGGCGCTCGGCGCCGCCCACGCCCAGGTCTGGGTGCAGAAACAGCACGGAAGGGCCGGGAGCCAACTCATCCCGATCCCGCTTCTCTGCCATAGCAGGGGTGCCCCGCACCCTTAGGCACCAGCGCGCCTGCTCCTTCCTGGGAAATCCGGGGACCACAGCGGGGCTGGCCACGCCCTCCGGCGTGTACGTATGTTAGGCCACATCAGCGCAAGTCTGTGTGGGTGGCTAGTAACCGCCGGTGAAAATGTCTCTTCTGGCCATGGCTGTATCCGCCCATGGGTACCGAATTGGACTCTAGAAAGGATGCTGTGATCTCAAGGAAGAAGACGGAAGATTTCTACATCCCACCGGCAGCGGACCACGTCGCCGGTAGCAAAATTTGTACAGGCAGATACAAGGACAGCCCAGGCGTCCTTGGAGTCCGAGGCCCTGCCAGCAGGTCTGGGGGCGGAACTGAGCCAGTTTCTCCAGCCGCTGGTTGTGTGAGGGCTCCGCCGCTTCCCAGCCGCCTGCTCCGGTCCCCTGCCACCTCCAGTTTCCAGAATGGTATGGTGACCCCAGGCTGGGATGATCCCTCCTTAGTCTCTACCTCGCCCAGGCGCTCCAACTTGGACCTCGCGCCTTGCCCTGCCTTCCGCGGCTCCCCTGCTTTGCCCACTCTCCAGTGCGGGTGCGGGTCGTGGCTGTCATGGCCTAGGGCTTGGGGGCCTGCGGGCGGCGTTCATCCGTCTGTCATTCTTGTCTCCCTCCGCAGCCTGGCCCGACCCCCAGTGGCACCAACGTGGGCTCCTCAGGACGCTCCCCCAGCAAAGCGGTGGCCGCCCGGGCGGCGGGGAGCACGGTCCGGCAGAGGTAAGGACCCCGGTGACCCCCTTGGTTGTGGGGCTGGGAGAAGGGGGACCCAAGAATCCGCTGGTCCCGAGAAGGTGACCCAGAATGTTAAGATTCACGAAGGCAAAGGGAGCCTCAGGTGTCGTGGCCGTGGGAGTCATGGCCTTTAGGTCTTTTGTGCCTAGAGAGGGAGGTGACGTTTTATTCTCATGGCACAGGTACATAGGGGCAGAGGCAACTTTGAAAAAAATGGTATCATTGAACTGGCGTCGCTGGACCTGAGCTTTGCACTCACACTTCTATCGATTTAACAAGATTTGTCCAACTCATTGTCCTCGACCACCCCAGTCCCCACCCCCAGGTGCATTGCTTAACTTACTGGTGCATATGGCACTGCTCTGTACGCTGTCACTCAGAGCCAGAACTTCAGCGTCATCTTGGATTTTTTCCTATGCTCTGTCTCCATCCAGTCATTTGTCAGACTTTAAATCATACACAAAAATCTGCTGCTCATCACTTCTTTGCGTCTTTCTACTGCCCCGATTTAGCCGTCAACTTCTCATCTAGACTTTTGCATTTTATTTTACTTTTTGTATTTTTTTTTATTGATTTCAGAGAGGAAGGAAGAGGGAGAGAAAGATAGAAACATCAGTGATGAGAGAGAATAATCAGTTGGCATGCAAGCTGCAACCTGGGCATGTACCCTTGACCAGAATGGAACCTGGGACCCTTCAGTCCACAGGCCGATGCTCTATCCACTGAGCCAAACCAGCTAGGGCATAGACTTTGCATTTTCTACTCTTCTACTCTCCAGGCCATTCCACTCCAATCCCTCCTGTGCTCTGGATCTGTCACTCTTCAGCTTAGTTTTTCTGTTAGATTTTTTTGCTGAACTTTAAAAAAAGGGTGAGAGGAGCAGATAATAAGGTTCTTGGTGACTCTCCCCCCCCCCCCCCCCCCCCAGCCTATCAACTTCCCTTCTCCCTCGCTCCTGGGGTCCAGCAATAGTGAATTTATTACTATTTCCTGAACCTCCCTTCCTGTCCCAACACACAATTTCTATTTATTCTCCTAAGACTAAGTTCAGAGGTGTTTGGAGGTCTTCTCTGACTCCAAAAGTAGCAGTAGCTATTACTCCTCCCTTTTGCTCCTAAAGCATTTCGATCATATAGTGGTAATAACATTTGTTTCTGTATTAAACTTTGAAAGAAACTGCGCAAGTCAATCTATTCTATGTGAGGCGTTGCACAATAAATGATGAATGAAGGAAGGAATCAAACAACCCTGTTATCTTCAGATACTTGAAGGAACTAGTGGGGTTTTATCTAGAGAGGGTAAAACCTTGAAGGGATACAAGAAAATGATTCATAAAGATGTGAAGAATGATGAGATTTTTCTTGTTGGCTACTATAGGTAAATGTAAAACTAATAATGTGAATTTAGCAGAGACAGATTTTAGCTCATTGAAAGTTCTGATGTAACTGATGTTTCTCTTGAAATTATCATGTTTTCTTTGGGTTACAAAAATCCCTATTATTAACCCATTAATCCACACTGTTAACCAATTAATAATCTGAATTTTAACCAGTTAATGGTTAATCTCTATTATTAACCAGTTAGTAGTTAATCCACATTATTATCCGATTAATAATCCGAATTTTTAACTGGTTAATAATTCACATAACCAAAAAAGGGCAGATTTTGTAATCAATGAAAATATAATTTCAAGAGAAATATCAACAGTGCTTTATTCGCTAGCTATACATTTGCCCCATCTTTTCAAGTAATTTATGGATACTGTCCCATAAGTATTTGTTTTGAGGCAAATTATTCAGAGACCCAACTTTCCACTTCTTTGTTCGTTTTGAAGTGCTGCTCAGAAAGCGCAGGTGCCATTGATCGGAACAAGTGGTAATCTGAGGGAGCGATACAACAAAAATAGCATACATATCAAATCATATATATATCAACAGTATAACTCCACCTATTGAAAAAAATCTGCATTATTAACCGGTATACCTAGTAAAGAGATGGTAGGGATAAGGTTTTCATTTCTGTTTTCTCCTGAATTTAAAAAAATTTATAATCAGTAGCCCACAGATAACTAGAATGGGGTTTTAAGAGGGTGTGCTGGGATTTGGTTAATGATAAGGGGCAGTAATGGGCAGGGCTTCCCCTCTCTTCCTTTCCTTATGTAGGATTTCTTATGAGTGGGCTGAAGAAGATCTCTTCTGACTTCTCATGCTTACTGCTTACTGCACTGTAGCACTCCAGCACCAGCAAGAGAGAAGTGGGGTGGAGCGGTGCTGGGTGGGAGGGTGGTTGTTGGGTGGGCTTCTCCAGTGACTAGGAGAGGAGGGAAAGGGTCCTCTCCTCCCCGCCCCCCTCCCATTTGTGGCAGTGCTTGTGGAGCTGTCCAGCTCCTTCTGTATGCGAGGGCTGCCTCCGTCACACAGCTCATCTCACCTTGGTCTGCTCGTGAAGGACAAGTTCTAGTTGGTGTTTTCTGCATTTTTTTCATAACCTACATCTCTGTCCAAGATTTATGGCATATCAAAATAATGAAAAAAGACTACAAAATGATTTTTCGGTAAAATATATGTTCCATTTTGGGACCTGGCTTACACTGAGTGGCCAGATTATTATGATCTTTGAACACATAATCTGGCCACTCAGTGTGTGTGTGTGTGTGTGTGTGTGTGTGTGTGTGTATCAGCAGCCCAGTGAATGAATTTGTGCATGGGTTGGGTCCGGCCAGCCTGGCCAGGGGGAGGGGGACATGGGTGGTTGGCTGGCCTGCCTGCTGGTTGAGGGGACAATTTGCATATTAGCCTTTTATTATATAGTATATGGACTGAGCGGCCAGATTATTATGCGTTCAGAGATCATCATAATCTTGCCACTCAATGTATAATTAAAGCTTAATATTTTTGTTTCTTTTGTAGCAAATACAGTAATTTTAAAACATTTTATAGTAATTTAAGTCAGATTACAGTTGACCCTTGAACAACATGGATGTTAGGGACACTCTCCTTTCCCTTGCAGTCAAAAATTCACGTATAATTTCGACTACTAATAATAGCTTACGGTTGGCCGGAAGCTTTATCTTTATCGATAACATAAACAGTTGATTAACACTTATTTTGTATGTTAAGTTATATACTGAATTCTTACAATAAAGCAAGCTAGAAAAAAAATATTTTAAAAAAGAGAAATACATTTATGGTATTGGGGGGGGAAAACCTCATGTAAGGGGACCCACACAGTACAGTTTAACCATGTTGTTCAAAGGTTGATTGTATGTAGATTCCAGACATTTTAGAGCAGAGGTTTATTACTTGGCTTCACAAAAATGCATGTGAAGAGAAACAAGTACATTGTCCAAATGAGGTGCCATATGTTTAGGCAAGAGTATGGGCTCAAGTCAAACTGGGTCCTCAGCTCAGCTCAGCCACCTGCTGGCCATGTGGTCTTAGGTAGGCACTTGGCTTAACCTTTTCTGAGCCTCATTTTCCTCTTATATAACAGAAATGGTAACTGCTTTTCAGAGTTAGTGTGTGCATTAGCATGTGGCAGGCACTCAGTTCATGGTAGTTATCATGACCCGGGGGCGAAACAAGAATTAGGGGTGCACTCACCAAAGAAAACGGTTTTGTTTTTTTCTTCTTATTTTGGTTCTTTAACAATGTAATGGTAGCATATGTTACAACGCCATTAAAAGGGTTCCCCCCAAAAAAAGACTCACATTTTTTCTCTTAACAGGAAAAATGCCAGCTGTGGAACAAGGAGCGCGGGCCGCACGGCCTCAGCAGGCACTGGGGGGATGTGGCGGTTCTACACGGAGGACTCCCCTGGCCTCAAAGTGTGAGTCTTGGCGCAGACCTAGTGTTTCTGTCAGGTGTCACAGAGCTGATCGGCAGCACTGTCTCTCCGCCTCCAGTGGTGCTGGCTTGGATGAAATCTACAGAACACACAGCTTCGGTTGGGTTTGGTTTGTCCATATATCAACCAATTAGTTTAGGGCCTGGAATGATATCTTTTCCGTAGATTGAGTGAAAGCAAGGAGAAAGCTTCATGTAGCTATGCCAAAATAAACAATGGGAACACAGAACTGGAGGAAAATTAGATGAAAATGTTCTTTCTTGGTTGTCTGACACTGAGAAAGAGGAGTAATCATTTGAGGATGAGTTGGGTGGTTTTTCAAAGCTTTTCTAGAACCATAAGCTGATATTATTACAGCTATTCGACATTTCTGCAGTAGGCTGTGTTAACGAAGGTTCTTTGGCCTTCTTGTCATTTATGGGTGGTGAGTAGACCTTGGGGTGAACATATCACTTTCCAAGTTCTTAAGGTCTGAGAGTGCTCATTAGTGATAGGAAATGGGCATCTGGGGGACCCCTGTTCCCATGCCTTGCTCACCTCACTTTCCAGGGGTCTGATACTGCGTGGCAGATCGAATCCCCCAGGTTTCTGATCAGGGGGCTCTAGGACACCACTGTTTGCAGTTGCTTCTTGACTGAACCAGTGGTTGAGGAATAGGAACACTGCAGATCCAGAAGCTCAAGCTTAGAGAGGCAAAGTTATGTTCTAGCAAGAGCCGGAACCAGGTAATCTGATTGTTCAGTCCTGTGCTCCATATGTCTATCTGGTAGAAAAGAGACAAAATTAGATTTATTTTGATTAGTTTAACTTGACCAGTAGCTTGGCTTGTATGGTAAGATGAGAATGTATTCAGGAAGTACTTCTTAGGGGGTCGGTCATATATGAGTTGTTTGTATTCAGACAACCTTTTGGTCTTTGTTAAAGGTAATTTTTCTGAGTATTTCAGAGAGAAATTTGAAGCCCCTTGCTCTTTAGGGCATCCAGAGGACTCCTTTGAAACCCTTCTTAAGGAGTAAAAACTGTTCACCTGGGGGTGAGACTGGCTCTTGCTGGCTCTGGGCTTTCTGCTATGGGGCAGCCAGGCTTGCTTGTTGCTATTGCTTGAGTACTCCCAGGAATTGCTAGAAACTGTTCTTGAAGTGTCTCATCCCACCAGAAAGATGGTAAAAGGACACAATTGGGAATTTGTATTCACAAATCCACATCTTGGAGCAGTCAAGTAACATCTTAGAGTTTGTTGTTGGCTCTTGTAGAATTTTAGAATTAAAAAAAAAAATAATAGTAGCAATTCCGGTGAGCTTATTAAAAACTTGTATAATCCATGTATATTAATTTACTTAATACCTCAGTAACAGTATGAGAGAGCTACTGTAATTATCCATACTTTACTGATGAGGAAACTGAGGCTTGGAGAAGATAGGTAATGGGGCACAGTCACAACTCATCAAGGACAGAGTGGGTTTGCAAACTCTGGCACTTAAACTCTGAGAGCTCCACTCTCAGCTTTGTGCTCTTCTGGCTGATGATATGCTAACATTGCTTTAAAACAGGGGCTTTGATTGCGTGCAGCATGATAACGTTGTCTCCCTATGTGTTTTTACATTTGTTTATTCCTATAATTGTACAAATTTTGGAAGAACAAAATAGTGTAGCAAGGACATTGATATCTGTGCATTGTTTATCTTACTTTGAAATAATAGTTTTATAATTGGATCATTTGTACTTAAAAAATTTGGAGAAGTTTTTATTTTTATTATGGAAAATATCAAATACATGAAATTAGAGAGACTAGTATCTCTAAGACATCCAAACATTTTACTTATATAATTTTAGTATGCTTTACTAGAAGGGAAGGATTCCTCCTATCTAAATAGCTACAATGACTCCACACCTCTACCCCTCTCCCTTCCACTCTCTAGAAATCAGTGGAAAAAATATTCTCACTCCTTGGGTGAGGATTAAAAAAATTAAAAAGAAAATGAAATATGGTGATGTATTATTACTAAAAGTAAGTAAGCATGCCTTTTCTTTTTTCTTTTCAGTGGCCCTGTTCCAGTATTGGTTATGAGTCTTCTGTTCATCGCTTCTGTATTTATGTTGCACATTTGGGGCAAGTACACTCGTTCATAGATTTGGCTACATCCATCTGTCATCTGGAGAAGAAGAAAAAAAATCATCAATATATCTTGGACCAAAAGCATAGTGATTTTCTGTTCATGAGAAAGAAATTTTCTGTAAGCTTACTGTTTTACAGGGAACTTAACGAGAATTGATTTTAAGGATCATTTTTTCTATGGCTAATAAACTTTTTAATTCATTTATACCAAGTCTGATTCTTTAATCTCTGCCTTTCAATAATGCTTTCTTTGTGGGATTGACAGATTCTTACATGATCATGTAGTTCAAATCCAAGGTACTGTAATTGGCCTTGGCTTGTTTTCTTCTAGGTATTTTTGTCCTGGTGATTGTCATTTTGGGCGTTCCGTGGTTTTTAAGGAATGTGCCTATGACTGCATCAGGCAGATCTGTATTCAAAGGAGCTGGTACCCAAGGGAATAGCCATAGAAATCAGAAATGTTGCATAGGTTTCAGAGACAAAGAATTAAGAACTCTCTCCCTTTTGTTTTATATTCTGTGAGTATAGATCAGGAGTTTCCTTCTATTTATCACTTGTGGCTAAACCTATTTTGAAGAATTCATTTGATAAGTTGGATTTTTCAAATAAAATTTTGTTTTCATTGTGAAAATTAAAGACTTCTCTTAATCAGAGTGAGGTATCAGCATTTCCAAACTGAGTTGATATAATTCCATACAAAAAATTGAAGTTTCACTTAGCTTATGTTGCCATTCTGGGAATAAACATTCAGTTTCTGGTAGACCTTAGGAAATACCAAGAATAGCTTACAGGTGCATACTGCAGGAATCTAGGATATAAGCCAGATTTTCTAAGGAGTAAGATATCCTGTGAAATCCTCTTAGTTGTCCAGCAGAATCACAACATGATAAAGAGGTGTATTAGTTAAAAACGGATAATTTTAACAATGATTTTCTCACAAATGAAGCTTTAAAAAAAACCTCCTAGAACAGTTAAGCTGTTTTATAAGTGTTTTTCTTAAGTCCTAGCTATATAGTAAATTTAGGTCCAGAATACCAAGTTTAAATGTTGAAAGTAGTATTTTTAAAAAGATTTATTAAGGCAATATATGGGTAAGCATGCTCTTGTAAATCCTAACAAATGGGCAGTTATTGGGAGAAAATGATGAAAAGTGGTCCTCTGGGATCCTGGGAATTGCTTAGTGTGTGAAATGGGTATCTTCATTTTTAAATTCGGGGACAGTGTCTTAATTTCATTTTGGAGAAATTAAAGATAATACCGTGTTTCCCCGAAAATAAGACATCCTCCGAAAATAAGATCTAGCGCATGAAAAGATAAGATATCCCCTGAAAATAAGACCTAGCGCAACTTTGGAAGAAAAAGTTAATATAAGACACTGTCTTTTAAAAAGTAAATAAGTAAATAAAGTAAATAAGTAAATAAGTAAGTAAAATTACTTATTTTACTTATTAAATTTACTTATATTGATTTTGTACAGAGAGGAAGGGAGAGAGAGAGAGAGAATTAGAAACATCGATGAGAGAGAGCCATCGATCAGCTGCCTCCTGCACACCCCCTACTGGGGATATGCTCACAACCAAGGTACATGCCCTTGACGGGAATCGAACCCGGGACCTTTCAGTCCCCAAACCGACACTCTATCCATTGAGCCAAACCGGTTTCGGCAAGACACTGTCTTATTTTCGGGGAAACAGGGTAGTATCTATAATAGATTTTTTTTTTTCAGGAAACAGCTAAAAGTTATCTTAATTTGGAACACAAATCTGTTCCTCAATCCAGAGGGGTCTGTTTTTCTCTGGGGGAGCTGCTGGAGCCAGCCACTTGGGGGAGCTGTTGTGTTGTCTGGGGTGCATTCTCTTCACTGCATAGTGCTGCCTCTTAGCCCTGTCTGCCTAGCTGTGGTCTCTAGTGGACCAATAGTGGAAAGTCACTGAATTCTGAGCTAATAATTTATAAGAAATGCCACGTGTAGTGGCAGAGCAAGGAGATGCTTCATTCAGCAGAAGGAAAATTGGGGATTGGATACAGAGATGTACAACATCTATTATGTAGCTACCTTTGGCTCTGACACTACAATGCTAATGCAATCTTAGTGTTCAAGATGTGCCTTTTTTCCCAAATTTTAAAAATTGTGGTAAAATATATGTGACATAAATTATATCATCTTTAAGTGCATTCATATTGTTGCACAACCATCACCACTATCCATCTCCAGTACTCTTTCATCTCGTAAGACAGAAACTTAAACTCACCAAATAATAACCTCCCCCTTTCCCCTGAGCCCCTGGCACCATTCTACTTTGTGTCTTTATAAATTTGGCTTTTTAAGTATTTAATATAAATGGAATCATGCAGTATTTTATCCTTTTGTGACTGATTTATTCCACTTAGCATAATGTCCTCAAGGTTCATGTCATAGCCAGTCAGAATTTACTTACTTTTTAAGCTGAATAATATCCCATTGTGTGTGTACACCACATTTTGTGTTGCTTTCTTTTTAAATAGGGATTCCTAGACTGTTGTTTCTTGAGCCATTTATAGTAATTCTGAAAGCCTAACAAATTTACAAGGATTAAGGCTATCTTGGCCCACAGAATCCTCAAGCTCCTTTGACTATGGGCTATAGTTCTAGCCACCACTGAGTGATAGACACAAGCCAGCACGTGCTGGCAGCTGCTCTATTCTAAGTGTTTAAAACTAGGGAAATGAATTATTATAATGCAGCTCTGGCAGAGCCTTTTAAGTCATTGGGGAACAATCAGCATAGGGAAAGGGTGAGTCTCTGAGACTGCCAGAGGATGGAAAGATGAGGACCTCTGAACACAATAGTGCCCTGAACACATTTTGGTAATGAAACAGGAATTTTTTGGGGTGAAAAGGACAGGTTTTAGGAAATTTTAGAAATTTTGGAAATGAAGGGGACCATGGAGGAAGCACAGGGCTGCAGAGCAGCAGAAGGTATATTTTCATAGAATGAGGGAGCTGAAAAGCTGCAACAGGTACATTTCCATTGACGGTCATAAGCAATCCTATATAATAAAGAGCTAATATGCAAATGGTCATCACGACCTTGCGTCCTCATACCTTTGTGTCCTCACACCCTCGCGCCAGGGCCAGGGGATCTGAGGCCAAGCACCCTTTCCTGTGGGGTTTGATAGGGGTGGGGCTGACCAGGTCTGGGTCTTGCACGATTTTGAGGCGCACGCGGGTAGGGCAGGGACTTGACTCTGGGTACTGTGGCGCACCCCAGACTCTGACAGGAGGGAGATTTTCATATACATCTTACTAATTTTCTTTAATCTCACACTTGTATTATAGAGAAAGGGCAAATAGCAATATTAAAATATTTCCTCGAATTCCTTTCTATTAGAATTCCCTTCTATTCCCATGAATTTTGTGTGCTGGGCCCCTAGTATAGAGAATAAATCCTGTGGTTGTGGGTCCCCATTGTCTCCCCTGTTCTACTCAGTAATGTGATTTCTGGAAAGAAAGCAAACTCATTCTCCAAGCACCCTATCTAGTTTGGTTTGGATTGTAGAAATTTAGTCATTGGTTCTCAGATGTTGGCGTGCATCCTGAAGGTCTCCACCTCTGCTACCTATCACGTTTGGCCAGCACCAGACCGGGAGTCCCGGCTCTCAAAAGCAGCAATCACACATGGGGCCGAGGTGGCTGGGCCTGTAGTTTATTCCAGGCCCATCACCTGTACAGGTGTGCTCATTTTGTCCCTTGCTCTTCTTTCAAGTGTCCTTCGTGGTGCTGCTGGTTTTGCAGGCTCTGCGCTGCACCTGGGGAATTTCACCTGCCTTCAGTGATTTTGCATATTCATAACCTGATGCTATGCTAGGTCAGCTAGCCGTGGGGCTGGAAGGCGCTGAGAGGCTGCAGAGTCCTGATTCTCCCTCCAGTTCTTCCTATGACTCAGAAGTGCATCTTTTTATAAAAGACATGCTGCCCAAATGAACAGAATGAGGTCTTGTCAGACTTCCTTTTATAGCAGTGGGCTCCAGGGGGCAGTGAGAAGTGAAAGGCACAAGTATGTAATGATTGTGCCGGGCAAGGATTCCCTTACTGGGTGGGCTGGTGTGGCCCCCTCACATCCATCCCAATGGTGTCAAAGGTGGGGAACCATGGCTCTCTACTCCTGTGCCCGGCAGATGCCTCAGTGCAACAGAAGACCTGCTGGACCTACCAGACTGGGGGTACACTCTGTGAGACCCCAAGGACCGTGTCAGGGAGCCATGGGCATTTGTACATCTTTTGCATGCTTGTTGGTGGGCCTGCAAAAAACCCAAATTTAAACAAACTTAGGGAAAGGCGTGGTGTTTTTACCCAGCCCACTGCTCTTCCTCGTTCTTTTTCCACTTCCCTGCCTCCTCCTTCTTCTTTTCTTCTAGCTGCTCTTCCTCAAAACCCTCCTCTCTTTCCACCCTCCCACTACTCTCTTCTGTTCTGTGCAACTCAAATATTCCTGGGCTATTGTGTGTGCAAACAGAATGTACAAAGAAACACAACCGTCCAATGAAAGTTTTTTTTTTTTTAAGTAATTCTGATTTTTACATGTTTTCCAAGTTGTGGGTTGAATTGTGTCCCCCAAAATTTATATGTTTAAGTCCTAACCCCTAATACCTCAGATGGGACCTTATTTGGAGATAGGGTCTTTACAGTACAGGGGTCATCAAGTTAAATTGAGGTCCTTAGCATGGTCCTGCTTTGACTCACATCTTGATGAGCAGGAGAAATTTGGACACAAAACATCATATAAACTTGAAGATATCCATCTACGAACCAAGTAGGGAGGCCTGGCACAGTTCTTTTCCCCACATCTCTCAGAAGGAACCAAACCTGCCAGCACCTTTGACTTTGAATGTCTGGCCTCCAAAACTGGGCGACCACACATTTCTATTGTGGAAGCTGCCCCACTTGTGGTACTTTGTCCCCACAGCCCTAGCAAGACAACATGCAAATATATCAGAAGGGAAGCCAATCCACAACCCTTAAAAATGCTTCTAGA